GGATCTGTGTCTACAGTCATCAGTACAGATTATCTGATACCAGGAGGAATCTGTCGGTCAGTGGACAGTGGACTACTGGTCACCTTGATAGACATGGCATCAGATTATTACGAATTAGGGTCACACAGCAGACGTCTGGTGAGACACATCACAGTGACAGGTGATGTCATCCATGAGTATGAGTACCAGGAGGACGGTCAGACCAGACTGTTTACATTCCCATCCAGAGTCACACAGAACAGCAACAGTGATATCTGTGTTGTGAACCGTACTAGTGAAACTACAGGTGATCTAGTGGTAATGTATCCCTCTGGTCGTATGAAGTCTGTCTACCGTGGACAGAACATGAAAGAGAACTTGATTCCAACTGATGTAGTGTGTGATTCTCTCTGTAACATCCTTGTTACTGACTTTAACAACCAGATCCATCTGCTGAGTCCTGACGGGGAGTTCCTGAAGTTCTTACTGACAATGAAGTGATCCGTCCAGTCAGATTATCACTGTACAAGTCTACACTGTGGGTGGGATACAAGGAATCGCTTGTCAAAGTGTTTCAGTACAGAATGCAATAACTTGAATTGCGATAAATTTCACTCATACATGTATTTCATAGAATTCTGCTCCTGACATTTCATTTTTCTTAATTCCTAGTCAAACTAGAAAACTGACCAGTCAGCAAGGGCCCCGCTGAGGGGTAGAAAGATAAGGGTACAACTCATTGAATGAGGGTTTTACTTGATTACATTTTTTTTAATATATGAAGATTATAAGTAACAACTGTATTTTTAAAATTTCAAGATAATTCCTAAAATATCCAAAAACCTGTAAATAGTAACCTTGTACTTACATAAAACAGGGAAAACCTCATGTCCTATTAAAAAAAAATTAAATTTAATGTGTATTTAAAAAAGATTTAAGCAGGTGTTTTATAAAATGCAAGCCTTCATTGAATGCAAATATCACCCAGGGTTGACCTCAACTTCAAAATAAACATCAGTTGCAGACAAACATGTTCATTAATCTTCATGTGACAGATAAAGATAAGCCTCTAAATTTTCTGCAGCAAGCAAGATAATTAATCCCATCCTTTTCTTCTATATAAATTTACAATAAGAACTTTTTTCAGCACTGACAGAATGGGGTTATTATCTGATTACCTGTTAAAATTAACAGCATTAAGGCAACAAAAAAAATTAAATTAAATAATAAAAAAAAAATAAAATAGTAATAATGAAAAAGGATATCTTAATATATATATCTTGATTTTAGAATATTCAATAAAATTATCATAAATCGTTGTGTACAGTATTTTAACCAAAATAAAGTATGAGCATTATTTTAAATCCATATTTCAAAGAATGTACACATCATTCAAAATTGACCTTAATTTCAAAACAAAGTTCATTGCAGACAGAGGCGGTACAGTAATTAATCTCAGTGTGACAGATAAAGATAATGCTTAGGATTTTCTTCATGTGGAAGGTTAATTAATCCCAAAGGACAAATTGCACAGCCTTCCCAGTTTACAATGGTAACATTCTCAGCAGTTATCTCTCTTTGCCCATTCATTCTTATGCATAGTTAAGGAATCTACCCCACCACCCCAGCACCAAACCAGAAGACATATAGAACCAAACTTAGCATCAAAATATGTATTTCTGCCTACTGAACTACCATACCAAATTTGAACCTGATTGGGCAATCTTAAAAAAAGTTATTAGAAAAAAACATAAAATTTGTGGACGGAAGAGTGACAGACGGACAGCTAGACAGACGGACGGACAGAGTGATTACTATATGGCACCCGCAAATCCTTGCGGGGCCCTAACTACAGGTTCATATTTTTACTTCAATTTCAATGGGGAAAAAAAAAAAAAAAAGAAAACCATGACACAAGCATAAGAAATCCTTTTTAAAATTATAGCAGATTTTAAGTTCATTCTGCATTGTTCATGCTGTTTCCAAAATCAAAACTAATTCTGAACTGTAGTCTGTAATTTACAATGTTTGTTTAGTAATATAATTAATTTTGATACATAGATAACTGAAAATGACAAACATACAGATAATCATGCTCTGATAGAAATATTCTATTATTATCAAAGAAATACGAGACAGCTGGGTACCAACACAATGTTTTCTTAATAATAAAAACTACACAAATTGACCAATTACCCAAACAGTCTCGATTCATAGTGTCATTATTACCTCTTAAACAGCTTAAAAAGATTTGTTTAACTTAAGGCTAAATTAATGACCTTTGCGTAATTTTTTTTTAAAATGTGTTTTATTTTACATAAATTTTATTTTTTTCCCGATTAATCGGTTAGAAATTAACATCCCTAATAAATATAATTTTGATCGGAAATTTCTGTAAACAAATAAAATTTGAAAAAGAAATGACCTTTCAAAATTACAGAAAAGTCAAGTTGTCACAGGATAAAATGTGATTAACATGTACTAGTATTGATTATTTTGATTCTGAATATTTTCAATCAAAAAATTTATATCAATACGCAAGTTTCGAGATTATCTCCCTTGTCGCGCTCTTTTGTTGAGGAGGGGAATTTCGTTGCTGCGTATACAGACAGGTGGGACAGTTATTTATATATTGGATACATTGCACCATCAATATACTGGTTTATCATAACTACATGATTGTAAGGATGTACTTTACAACTCGGGTATAACCAAATTAATGTAAAAATGTATTTTTTTTAAAGCAAAGAAATTGTAACAAAAAAGAAAATATCAGTCGGTGTGAGACTTTTCAGACGAGGGAACAGATATGGACCTCTAATAAATACAGTACAAATGCATCTGATCATTACACGTCGGCAATCTAAATGACACATTGATTCTTTTCCTAATTAGAACCTCAAAAAACCATTTAACTTTTTAAACACCCAATTTTATGTTAACGCCCCCTAAATCTACCTGATTCAAGATCAATAATTTACCGCCTGTCAATCATTGAAAAAACAATAGCTTCTGATTTGATTGACATGTCAGCTACCCGTGCTTCCTGATAATCTGAGTTTGCATGTTTTGAAAACAATTAACTGGCCACGCGTTAAATGCTTTCATGTACCCGCATAGTATACACACGGGTTAGAAAACTCCAATATGTTTGAATTTTATTTTAAAAAAACAATTGAAAGTAGATTATTAAAACATTGACACAATAACATATTTCTTTTCTATCTTCACTGCTTTTTGTTATTTGTAAGTGTAATATCGTCCACGTTATCTGTAGAAAAAAGACCGCGTCCACAGAAACCAGCTCTATTTGCCGCAATTGGAAGTCCGACGATTTGAATTATTTTTTTTTTGTTGAACAAATGGGATATAAGAAAAATATTCAGCACTTATAAACGGCATAGCATAGTTTTTAAAAGATTGTTTTATTTTGTACTATATCTATAATCCGCATGATGTTGTACAGAGATTGATGTCAGAATTAATGCTCGAATTTCCTCTAGCGTCTGTATATGTACGTAATGAAAAAGTAAAGATAATTAATAGTGATCGATTCTGAAAAGAAATCTTTCTAACAATAAAATTTTGTTAATACACGAAGAATAAAAAATATGGAATATTTTGGACAACATTGTTGGCCAGAAAAAAACAAAACATTCCGATCGCGGTAAATGCATGTTCACATGCACGACGGAAAGGTGGATTAATAATTTTTTTATTTCAATATCAGACTTTTTTAATCAAGTGATTTCTTTTATTGAAGATTAAAAAAAATAAATATTATTGATTTGTAGTTTTTACTCGTGATTTTTCTTTTATGTTAAGGAAATCATTTTCTAAAACGATCTACATGTATCTTATTATTTTTTCTTCCTTCATAACATTACTATGATTACAATGAATGCGTTTTGGTTACATATAAATTCACATTAAAAAATAATTTTTTTACGTAGTTTCACTCAAAACCAGACACAAAACACGTAATGTTGACCCTGATTACCAAACACAGACTTCCTGTGTAATGCTACGTATACACAGATTTTTGACATATTGGGTATTGGGGGTCTCCAGGTAAATAACACCACTGTTACTTCGACCACTCCCCCTCCTCAGGTAACCGTACGGTAAAAAAATTGGGTCTTTAAGAAAATGTTTGTACAATCAAAAAAATCAGTTGCTTTTTATAAACAGTCAGGGGCATAACTTAAACAAGTTATTTTCAAAAATAACTCAAATGAGTTCTTTTTTTGTCTCAATGAGTTACTTCTCTTTGCTACGACCTACTTTTTCCCAGCCTTAGTAACTCAAACACGTTATTTTTCCAAAATAGCTTCAATAAATTAATAACTTGTTTAAATTATTTTGTGTCATTCCTCCCTAACTTCACACCCCGTGCACCAAAGGATTTTGCTCGTGCACCAAGACAAAAACAAATGTTTGACTAAATTCAAACCTTGCTCAATGCAGGAAAAGTGTTCAAAGTCTTGGGAAAAGTTGGGATTTTTTTTTTATTTAATGATAAAAATTGGACATATACACCATGTGGATAAAACCACAAAATAAGGAGTAAAATGCTGTTTATCTCCACCTCCTCATCAATTCTCCATTGGAGTCTAGGGCTGTCACGGTTCCAAATTTTTTCGGGTCGGGTCGGTTCTGATTTTTTAAGGTTCGGTTTCGGGTTTCTCGGGTCGGGTAGGTAATGCTCATGATTTGTATTAATTCCACATTTAATCTTAGAAATTGCAACATTATAACTAGTTTAAAGTAGCCTCCTGACTAGACAACAATTGTACCAAATTATTTAAATCACCTTTAAGGGTTTCAGATTGAAATAATTTTTAAGTAACTATAGGACATCTGGCATATTTACCAGAAAAGTTATAGGCCATTCTGTCCTAAACTTTCTAAAATTATAGGCCAATAGAAAAGTTAAACTAACTCAGATTTCTGTCAGACTTTTACAAAATAGTTATTTCATTACATAAAATATTCAAATATGAATATTAATTTTCCTTTTAATGAGGTGGAAATTTTATTTTGTTTTCTTTTAAACAAAATTAATATATTGAAACAGAATGGGAATTGTTTTTGTTAATTCCATTCAATGGGTATTTAACTTATATTAGTCCCACCTTTTATTACTTGTACATACATGTATTTATTTCTTCAATGGGAAAATAATTTTTAAAAATAGTAATCATTAAAACTTGTATCTCTAATGATATTCAATGTATAATAACGTTTAAAGATTACCTAGACTAATTTTTTCCCTTAGTAAAACTTTGCAACATCGTTCGTTTCCTGCTATTAGTCCGACCCCATATTCAATCATGGCGGTAAAGAAAAACAACATGGCATGGATTCCTGCGATGTTTTAAACATTCATCACTACTTTTATGCTCCTTGCAGTTTGGTTTGGAAATAAAATTATAGAGTATTTTGTCAAGATCTACTTATATCAAAATGTCATTGGCTGATTGAATCGGCAGTTGCAGAAAGTAGAGAAAAACAATCGGATCTGAAGGGGGGGGGGGGGGTTATACGACTTGCCTTTACATACAGAAAATAATCGGCCATTCTGTCTGTTCAATGTCAAACTTTTAGGCCAACATGGCAGGTAAAATTATTTTTTTCCTGCCATTTTGAAACTTTATTGGCAAATGGCCGACGCCAATCTGAATCCTCTCGTTTTTGACGCCATTTTTATGGTAAAATCTTCTCTATTATACATGTCGGACCCGAACCGAATTCTGGAAAAACGGAACCGTACCCGTCCCGAATAGATTGTTCCGCGGTTCCGAGTCATTTCGGGTACCCGTGACAGCCCTATTGGAGTCGGTGCACTCTATCTAGTATTACATAATGGAATCTCCAAAATGCAATGCATATTGGCAGGAAACACAAAAATGTCCAAGTAGGATATGAAAATAACTTATTTAAGTTATGTTTTTTAAAAAATCTGTGTGTGTAAAATAACTTATTTAAGTTATTTTTTAATAACTTGTTTGAGTTATGCCCCTGACTGATAAAGACTACGACGTTTCTTTTGTTTTCAAGTACCCTATAATTGAAAGTATATTTGAAAATATGCATAGTTGAGCTTGATAAAATCATCAAATGCATCACTGCTTAACATTATTATCTTTCTATAACATTTAGTATATTTTAAAAGTCATACATATCGTTCATTTATTCATGCACGTTTGTGTACAGAAACAACCTGTCCCACCTCCATGCTGAAATGGATACTTTTCGCGCCTCTGTCGTAGGAGATTTACAATCTCGAGACTCCCGTATTTAAACAAATAACTGTGTTTTCTTTAGGGAACAACATTATTTGTGACTGTTTGATACAATGCTTGCTGACTGAATTTTACCACTGACACAAAACAGTTGCATTAGTACCTACCTTTGTCTGTTCTTTCTGTTTTTCTAATTTCTTTTTCTCTCTCCTCCTCTGGAATTTGAAAATACAGAGTTAAAAAGTACAGAAAACAATATAAAAACAAATGTATGAGTACTATCTTTTACAGCTTTTAAATCTATAGTTTTGTCTCCATTTCATTCATAAAATCCAAGTTGTCAACCAAACAATTAAAATTCTTAATATCTTGTATAAGGTTACCCAATCACAACTTTAAAATAGCATCTTTACAGATTTTGAAATATTCAAGTTGAGTCCACCTTTTTCTTTGCTTTTCTTTTCTCTAATCTTCTTTTTTCTTTCTCTTCCTCAGATATTAATTCTTCTGCATTTCTATTTATTTCCTGAAAGAATTGTTTACCTTTGTTAAGAAAAAGTCAAGAGAGCAACAAATTCCAGCAAAAATTGTTCTTACAATGTACATGATGGTTTTTCATTTCAAATAAAAAAAAAGTTCTTTAGAAGAAAATGCTATTATTTTCTCAAGGCTAGTAATTTAGTAAACCTTCGTCAGGGCCAACAACTTGAACTGACAGTCAGTCCATATTTTCATCAATGATTATACCTTTCAGCTCATATTTTCATTAATGATTTAAACTGTCAACCCATATTTTCATCAATGATTAGTCTCTTCACCTTCTAATCAGACAAGTTCAGATAACCAACGAGTACTCAATGAAAAACCCTTTACAAAATCTGAATTCTACAACTATCAAGACTTCTCAATATTACTTACATCTACTGTTAATCTTTTAAAATGAGATTCACCACCTAAAACAAAAGAATTCATCAATGTTACTTTGCATATAAATTCTAGATTCTAATATACTGCTTTGGTTAAAATATATTTTCCATTCAACTAAGGGATTTAGTGTTATATAAAAAAAAATAAATTCACCTGTTTTAGATTTTCTTGTATCTTTGAATCTTATTCTATCTGAATAAAAATTTGTTAATTGATCTTCATCTGAATCAATATCATCTTCATCATCAAAATCTTCATCAGATGAGTCATCTCCTGAGCCATTATAAGAATCTGAAAGACAAAGCACAGAGTAATGAAATGTACCATATGTACTGTACAAAAACCTAAATCACTAATATATGTGGCTATACATAAGAGATCAATGGGCAACAACCTTCACCAGTAAGTTCTACAAAAAAGTAGCCCCACCCTACCCTGAGGGTCTATGACTTGAACAAACTTGATCAACACTTTCAGAAATGGACACTTTAATGGCATTACTTTTAATATATTACCTACTGGAAAACCAACAATTATTTGCAAGCAAGAATTATTTGTGACTAACCAAACTTAAAATTTTTATTTACCTGCAGTTAATTGCTTTGGTAACAAATAAATAGTAGTCACACAGATTCTAAACTGTAGAATCATGGAAAGAAGATGTTGAAAATAATAGTTGGTTTAAAATACTTTAAGCAGATGACATAATGATGGTACTTACTTAGTGACTGTGAGAAGAAAACATCTTTGAATAACTGCATCATCTGGTCCTAAAAATAGAAGGGTTCAATCAACATCAGTATCTTAAATTCACATCAGTTAAATTCTCTTTAAAAATGAACATACTTAATTTCAAAGTGAGAACAAGAAGAACTTGATTGGAAAGCATTCTCTATCTCAGAGCATGTATCAGAAATTTACTTTCCTCCTTTACTTCAAAAATGTAGCCTATTAAAATCAATCAGTTCTAGATATGATCACAAACCATTTTTTGTAATATCAGATAATACAGGTTTAACGTCTAAAATAATTGTTCATTACCGGACAACTAAAGGTTACAGTCTTAATTAATTGTTAATTACCAGTGTCATATTGCGGAGATTCTCTTCCCCCTCGTCTTCCATTAATTTTCTGTAGGCTTTAGATACTTCCTGGAATTTCTACAATGATCGTATTCAAAACACATATATGGACTTCCTGAATTTTATTTTTGTGCAGGAAATGATGGAAATAGGGTAAATTTAGCTAGTAGAGAGATAAGGGCTTTAAGCCATGTATATTTCCTGATGTTGTTTCAAGTTTTTTGAGCTATTTACTTGTGTATAAAGTTTACATCATATTAAAATTACATAATGAGTCAAAGTTGGAATGGATTATTCTAAATAAAGAATAGTATCTCAAGGGTCCAAGGTTAGAGACTGTTTATTGAAAGATAAATTGAAATCTTACTTTTATAGATTCCTGTGAGTTACTGTGTTTTTCTGGGTGCCACTTTAGAGCCAGCCTTTTATAGCTTGTTCTGACTGAATCTTGATCTGCCCCTGATAATTAAAAAATAAATCAGAATTTGATTTTAAATATGTGAACAGAAGCTCATAATTATTAATTTGACCATCCTCTATACTGTAAAATCAACAAAGGAAGGAAATGAAATAGAAAATTTTTGCCACCAGTTCACACTCTAGGCCAAAATAAAATTATAGTTTGTTTGGAATTGCCTCCCGCCTCATTGAAATGCCCCCTCCTGAAAAAATTTTATTGACCAACAGTACGAAGAATTTTTTTTATTTAATCAATTTTTTTGCCCATTATTCATGTATCATATGCACCATACAAAACACCGAAAGATAGTGTCAGATCTATGTAAAATTAGGATTTTTTGTTGATGGAAGATACTTTATTTAAAAGTCAGAAAATGTATTTACTTTTTACTAAGATTTTTATCAAAAATTTTAAATTTTTCTTCAGTTTAAAAAAATAAAATAATTTCCCTCCCTCCCTCCTGTGTCTGAAACCCTTCAGGCGGCAATTCCAAACAAACAATTTTTTAAGGATGGCCCTAGGTATCAATCAATCATGCAAAGAATGAGTATATTTCTGAAAATACTCGTGACCTCTAAACAACTAAAATTCATAATAACACTAGCACTTTCAGCCACACAAGTTCAAAATTGTGTGTTAGCTAGGCTGTATGTAGCTACAGAACTGTAGCTCTCTGCTTGAGAAAATTCGGACTGATAAATGAAAGAGCTACAGATCCATGCGTTGTAAAAACCCTTGATTTATGCCGCCCATTTTTTGTTGCTCACTTCAGTTATTCTTTCTTTTATTAGTTTTTGCTTTTCTTTGCTCTTGGAATGGTTTCAGATAATCAATATATTTTACTCCAATTACCAATACTTTATTCAACTGTCCGAAACAGTCATATATGGTTTTAAAATGTCGATTTAAAAGATTCTGATTTCTCAGCCACATCCAGAAACGCCATTCTTGAACAGTTGGAAGGTAAACAAACATTAAGGAATAGGAGTTAAATGTACGGTTAATTATTGAAAATCATTTAATAAGCTGGGAAAACATAAAATAAAAGAATACCTGAAATGAGCAGCGTAAATCAAAGGTTTTTACAACGCTTAACAGGTCCAATCCAAAGACTATTTCTATCTACGTAGCTATTAATAGCTACGTAGGTATTTAAACCTACCCAAAGTAGCTATGTTTACCTACTTTTTGTATTATCTGCATTTTGTGTCCAAAAGACCAAACGGCGCAACATGGTGAATACCATATATTTTGATACTGTCCTACTATTATGATGAATACGACAAAAACTTGGCCAAAAATGATTACTTCCTAAATTTTAAATTTTACATTAATTTCTAAGCGAAATCGTTAATTTATGAAGTAATCATTTTTTGGTCAGATTTTTGTCATATCCATCATCAGTGTGACTGTATCAAGAAATATGGTACTCACCATTTTGCGCCGTTCAGCCGTTTGGCCACAAACTGCAAGTAAATCAGAAAATAGGTAAAAATAGCAACTTTGGGTAGGTTTAAATACCTATGTAGCTATTAATAGCTATGTAGGTAGAAATAGTCTTTGGACTGGACCTGCGTAAGTTAAATCTGTAGCTCCCTGCTTTATCTGTCTGAATTTTCTCTAGAAGAGAGCTACATTTCTGCAGCTAGGCTGTACAACGCATTTCTCTAACATGCAAATTATAAAACATGGTTTTGTACTTGTGTTAGTAAATAGAGGAGTCGGTGCGATTGATATGTTATGCAATATTGCCCGAGAATTTTGAAACAGGACCCGTTCCTGAACATTGTTCACAAAGGGGAGAAAATTTTTCAACCAAACAGAAACTATCCAGAGTATGCATATGATAAATCAATATGCACGAAGTCATATTCTTGGTTGAAATGGTCTTGGTATGGAACGTCTGGCACGAAAACGTTCCCGTTAAATTGGCAATAAAAGAAGAAATTCAGTTGTTTACCACTCATTCATTCTTACATACCGATTGGTAACTCTAAAATATCATAAGCATCAGATCTTGAAAATCCCATTTTCAGTTTTATGAAACGCTTTACAGTATAGTATGTTTAAAAACAAAAATCTTTGGAAAAGTTGAACTCAGGCCGCCATTTTCTGTATTGCATGTGTGTAGCCACGTCACGTGGTCTCTTTGAGAGTTTCAAGGAGCGGATCAAACTTTGATTTACGTTGTTATTAAACAAAATAAAATAAATCATGCGTCCACATATAATGTACATGCATGTGGAGGCTAAAGGGAAGGGGAATGCTATATTCATTTTTTAAATACACCGTACTGTAATATTGGCAATTACATTTTAAAACTTTTTAAATCTAATTGGCAATTAAAGTTAGAAATTTAGTTTTTTAAACCACTCATCCATTCATACATACCAATTGGTATGATAAGGTATTAAAAGTTACTATTATTTCACCCCACCCCCCACCCCCAATAAAACAAAAACAAACAATAATCACCTCAAATTTTAATGGAGCATAAAAATAAATGTGATTATTTCTATCAATTTTAATTTATCTGAAGTCAGATTACATCTAAGTTTTGTATGAAGTTAATATTAACTGCATGATTAATGCATTGACGGAATTGTCGGAAGAACTGACTACAAACAATGCATGTACTATGGTATGTACAGATGTTTTCCAAAAGTGCAGATGCTTTTATCTTTTGCCCTGTCCGCCCGTATGTCTGTCTGTCTGTTTATATCTGTTTGTCTTTTTGTCCGCAAAAACTTATCCTTCTCCATAACTTTTGGGTGGGTTAAATTTGGATATGGCTTTCATATTTAACAGATATTGTGACAAGGTCGACCTTTCTTCAGGTTTCACCAAACTTGATCTCGCGTGACCTAAGAGTTTGACCAACTTTTATAAAAAAAAAAAAAAAAAAAATCCAAACTTTAATCATACTCTTAAAGGTACTTGGACACAGATTTGAAGTCAATATTTTCTCTATAATATTACGACTTATTTTAATAGCATTTCACACAAAAATTAATGAAAAATCTTATTTCAGTTAAAAGTTATTAAAACTTCAATTTTTTTGGCGGGTTTGATTGACTCATCCTTGCACTTTCACAAATTTTAACCTTATTCTTAATCCTTAGGAAAAGTGGCAATCTTGTTGTGTATTAATGAGAAATATTAAAACTTTTATCCAGAAAAATAATTTTATTCAGAGTAGAAATGTTAGAAAGCAAAATTCATTCACAAGTATCGTCATTCCGAAATAAGAGTTCGTACAGAGTTTAGCAAATCGAGCACACTCGTGTTATGTACACAGTTTTTGTAAACACGGCACGAGTTCTGTCAGTTTTTGTTGATGTTTACTATTCACCGGGTGTGTTCAATCGTCAAAGTCTGCTCACCACAACTGCACGGACTGCCAATATATTGTGAGTTTGTTTTGCTTTCAAACATGTCTACTCTGAATTTTCTGCATTACAGTATTAATATTTTTCATTTGTACATAACGAGATTGCCACTTTTCCTTAGGATTAAGAATAAAATTAATTTGTGAAAGTGCAAGGATGAGTCAATCAAACCCGCTAAAAAAAATTGAAATTTTAATATCTTTTATATGAAATAAGATTTTTGATTAATTTTTGTGTGAAATGCTATTAAAATATATAAGTCGTAATATTATAGAGAAAATAATAACTTCAAATCTGTGTCCAAGTACCTTTAACTGTTTGCAGGACAAAAACTATATACCCCTGAATCTTTGATTACGAGCTCGAGGGTATAAGAAGAATAAAGTTTATACGTTACATATTCCTCGAGAAGATCGATTATGTAATAGATGTAATTCTAACAACATAGATGATGAAACTCATTTTTTAATAACATGCAAAAAATTTGATCATCAAAGAAAAGAAATATTTCAGTTAATTAATCATAAATTTCCACTATTTTCAGCTTTAGATGATGAACAAAAACTTTATTGGTTACTCAATACAGAAGATAAGGAAACTCTTAATTTTGTGGGCAAATTTATAAATGATAACATGTTATAGTAGCATTAGTCTTTTACACATACATGCATATTTGATGTATTCCTTTTAGACAGGATTATTGTTAAAATGATTTATGTCAATTACAAATTGTATAATTGTTTTGCTATTCATTGGCTTATCTTTTCCTTATTATTATAACAATCTCATACTTGTCTGTTATGGGCTCTAAATTAGTAATAAAATGTTCTGTTCTGTTCTGTTCTGTATAGATCTCTCTCTCTCTCTCTCTCTCTCTCTCTCTCTCTCTCTCTCTCTCTCTCTCTCTCTCTCTCTCAAAACCTTGCAAGCAACATCTCTCACATGGGCCCTTAAGGGGAAGAGATCGACAAAGAGGACGAGCTAAGAACACCTGCTTGGGACATTCTGTTGAGAGAGAAAGAGAAGAACTCTCTGGATTGGAACAGTTGAAAGGAGGGACAGCTTGTTGCCAGTGAGTGACCGCCGTATGTGGCCTTAATCTTTGTTGAACGGCCTCTCCGGGGCACGTAGAGGATAAGTTAGTAAGTTACCGGTCTAAAACCGATCGAAATTATCCCTTATTTCACAAATGCAACTTAAAGTAAGGGGACAACAAGACATTCAAAGAACATTTTCTGTAGTAAAAAATATATTTGGAAAAAAGTCTGGGTCAAGTCCCCTTGCATTATCTTGCATTACCTTTGTTGACATTTATTGCAATTCGAGTTTTTGGTTGTATACTGCACTGACCTGTGCAACTGTTGTGAGTTTCTTTGATATCTGAATACTCTCCTGCAGTTATTAACTACTGTTATTTTTAAATTTGTTGCTATATAAAGCACACATCCGTCGACACAGATGACGATAAAGCGACTTTATATGTAGTGGCTCTCAGATTTATCGAGAGGTCAAGAGAATATGGCAGGACACATTCCTTTCTAGAATTTTTTTTCCAGGGGTGGGGGGGGGGTGGGATGGGCTCCAACCCTCAGGCCTGTCAAAGAAAATTCCAACCCAAATATTTCTTGACAAGCAGAAAAAAAGCTTTAAACTCTTTTCCCAAACATTAAAAACCTATTCCTTGGGGAGGGAAGGTTTAGTGGCTGACATTCAAAGCGAAAGAGAAGTGATGTATGTTCTCTAGGGGGAGTCCAAGGTCACGTTTAATTGATTTAGGATATACCACAGGTACTTATGGACAGGACCCCCACCCCCACCCGATATTCAACCCTGGAGCTTACTGGACATTTTTTTCACAAATTATATTCATCGCACTTATTCATCATGTGTACAATATAAAAAAAAATCGACAAAACCCAAAAACAATTGCTCCCCCCCCCCCCCCAAAAGAAAAAAAAACACACTATGCATTATTTATAAGTCTCCCTTATGATGTACATGTGTAGTGTGGTATTTTTTTGGTGGAGCGATTGCTTTGGGGTTTTGACGAATTTTTCATATTGTAATTTCATATTGTGTTGGGGGGTCATGTCCACAAGTACCTGTGATTAAATGGGGGGAGGTCCAGACACCCCCCCCCCCCGACCCCATTCTAGAACAGCGCGTGAATCATTTTCAGTTTTTACAACTAAAATGTGAATTTATACGTAGTTTCCCTGGATTTACCACAATAATGTGCAAAGAAGGCCAGGAGAGCGTACTTTTGTTTCAATCCGAAATTTCCTTGTACGGCTGACAATTTTCCTCACTCGAATCAGTTGACGCTTGATTTGTCAAAGAGGGTTTGCAGGCGACTCTCGGAGGTATAATATGAATACATTTTTATATCTCGTAACCAGCTTCTATAACCAGGCAGAGCGCATGCGCGCAACAAATTTACATCGAGTTCGGAAAACAGCAGAGAGGAAATTCGGAATATATAACGAAAACTAGTAGTGCTATTCTCAGATGCAGAAATTTATGCATAATTCAATAAGATTTTATTTAAAAAGCCGAAGAATTAATAAGTCGACATTGCAATTAGTTTTTATTTGTTTATTTAATCTTTTATTTATTTGTTTATTTATTTATTTATTTTTATTTTTATTAATTGTAATAATTATTGATAAACTAAGTAACTTATTTATTCATTAGGAAATTTATTTGTCTGTTTATTTATGAATACATTCTTTTCTTCATTAATTAATTATTCTAATGAGTAATCAATTCTTCTATTTATTTATTATTCATT